AACAAGAACCACAGACATCTGATGAAAAATTAGAATGATGTAAATTGATGCTATCAGTGTCCCTGATACAAATAAAAAATTTAGAAAACCTCTTTACAATCTCTTTAACAAGAACCACAGACGTCTGATTGAAAATTAGAATGATGTAAATTGATGATATCAGTGTCTCTGATACACATAAAAAATATAGAAAACCTCTTTACAATCTCTTTAACAAGAACCACAGACGTCTGATTGAAAATTAGAATGATGTAAATTGATGCTATCAGTGTCTCTGATACACATAAAAAATTTAGAAAACCTCTTAACAATCTCTTTAACAAGAACCACAGACATCTGATTGAAAATTAGAATGATGTAAATTGATGCTATCAGTGTCCCTGGTACAAATAAAAAATTTAGAAAACCTCTTTACAATCTCTTTAACAAGAACCACAGACGTCTGATTGAAAATTAGAATGATGTAAATTGATGCTATCAGTGTCTCTGATACACATAAAAAATATAGAAAACCTCTTTACAATCTCTTTAACAAGAACCACAGACATCTGATTGAAAATTAGAATGATGTAAATTGATGTTATCAGTGTCCCTGATACACATAAAAAATATAGAAAACCCCTTTACAATCTCTTTAACAAGAACCACAGACGTCTGATTGAAAATTAGAATGATGTAAATTGATGCTATCAGTGTCCCTGATACACATAAAAATTTAGAAAACCTCTTTACAATCTCTTTAACAAGAACCACAGACATCTGATTGAAAATTAGAATGATGTAAATTGATGATATCAGTGTCTCTGATACTTTTAAAAAATTTAGAAAACTTCTTTACAATCTCTTTAATGTTCATGTAAGTCCCAAAACTAATTTTCCATTCTGTTTACAGCTGTGAAAGTCTGCGCTCCAGGACAATTCCAGTGTAAAAATAACAACTGTACGTTTGTGTTTCGCGTCTGTGATTTGCACGACGACTGCGGAGATGGTAGCGATGAAGAAAATTGTAACACAAGACAATGTGAATCGTGGCAATTCAAATGTAATAATTATAAGTGTATACCTAAGAAATGGCAGTGCGATGGTGAAGACGATTGCGGGGACGGATCAGATGAATTGTCCCATTCTTGTGGTACGTTTTTTTTTTCATTTTTTAGTTCTCCAATTTCATTTCATTTAATTTCGACAGTTGTAAATCAAAAAAGAGCAGGCTCATGCCACTGTCCTGGCAAAATTTCCCTCATTGCACCCTGAATGGCGTTATCTGTCTTCATTAGCCCAATAAGGTGCAGAAAAGTAGGATGTAAAACTCCATTCATTTTAAACACCATATACATCTATATCTACTGCATACCTGGCACTTTTCCTCATTGAACACTGCAAGACGTTGCTTGTGTTCATTAGTCCAATTAAGTGCAGAAAAGTAGGACATAAAATTTCATAAATGTCCATGTATGTACAGTCTGGATAAACAAAAAAGACTTTTTGACCTTTCTTGATCGGTCATTCATTGGAATTCTGCTGGTAATTCTCTTCTAATTTAGCTAATTATGAATTAATTATGGACATGTGAGACAAACTGGTATTTTTCCAAGTCATTAGAACACCTCTACTTTCTATTCAAATAAGTATTAACATTAGCATTCATGAATGAAAATAAGGGAACCCATCTTTAAGTTGTTATCTGTGTAAAATATTGAATGATGCAGAATAACGAGGTCTTGGTGGAGCTGAAATTCAATGTCGCCGTTATTTTTCCGAAAACACATCAAATGTAACGTGTAAGCACTACAATTTTATCTCTTCCATTTTATTTTCAGGTAATTCTACGTGTAGCGTTGGACAGTTTATGTGTGATAACAAGCGATGTATACCAGCCACGTGGAAATGTGATTTCGATGATGATTGTGGTGATGGCTCTGATGAAAAAACATCATTTAATTGTGGTAAGTTTTGGAGTAACAGTTATCTCCCCTTTTTAAGCTCTTCATGTCTTCTGATGCATATTGTTGGTACCCTAATTCGACAAATCTGGTTCTATCAGTGATATTCAGATGTTATGTTGTCACAGTTAGGTATAAAGGGGCAACTCTCGAAAACACTGGCACAGGCATCAGAATTTGTCTTACCTTAAGGAGTATAAGGGTTAGGTATTAGGGGGTGAGAGCCAACACTGGATTGACTCTCGAAAGCACGAGCACAGGCATCAGAATTTTTCATACCTTGAGGAGGATAAGGGTTAGGTAATAGAGGGTGAGAGCTGACACTGGGCCGACTTTCGAAAGCACTGGCACAGGCATCAGAAGTTTTCTTACCTTGAGGATTTGAACCCACAGCACTTAATCGCCTAGCAGACGTCAATCCATCTCGCTACTGTCAACTTTTATATGAGTAGAAAATAAAGAAAAAATGCTTCAATCCTGGAAAAATTTCTCTCATTGGACACTGCATGGCATTGCCCATCATCATTAGCCCAATCAAATAGAATTCCATTTGACTCATGTTTTCGTGTATTTTTTCAGAATCGCGATCATGTTTAACAGGATGGTGGACCTAATCAAATAGAATTCCATTTGACTCATGTTTTCGTGTATTTTTTTCAGAATCGCGATCATGTCTAACAGGATGGTGGACCTAATCAAATAGAATTCCATTTGACTCATGTTTTCGTGTATTTTTTTCAGAATCGCGATCATGTTTAACAGGATGGTGGAAATGTAAAACTAATTATAGATGTGTACCGAACTGGTCACGATGTGAT